TTTGGTGAAGCGGAGACTCTTGAAGAGGGTCTTTCGCTGTCTGTATCGTCCATGTATATGTATATGTTCTCCTCGTTTTCGGAGTCCGACATTGTGTGCGTGTGCGTGTGTGTGTGTGTGGGTGTGTGTGGGTGGGTGTGTAAGTGTTAGTCGTGTGGGGATGCCCCCTTACGGGGGCGTACGTGTCTTCTAAAGTAATGCAAATAACTGATAAATAAGTAAAAACTTACCTGGGCATAACCCCGGCACAGGTACCTGTAACAAAGATGCCGACGGCGTCTATGCTTAAGCCGGGGATTAGGTCGGTGATTAAAAGGAAAGAAAGGGATTCTTTCCAGGTAGCCTTAATAAAGGCAGGTAGATCTTGCTCGTTGCAATGCACTTCACCTCACAAACAAGCACGTCCGCTCAGCTCGGCTGTTCGCTCTGAACGAACATGAACCGTCGTCCACCTCAAACTTCACAACAAAGATTTCCTATACCACCTGTTAGACAAAACCTACCCCCTAAACCAAACTATAATTATAAATCCCAATATTATTCGAATCAACAACCTGATTTCTCACCAAGACAATTTCCGTTATCTCAACCTTCTTCACGAGAAACACAGCCACCTATAAGACCTCCTTATGACCAACCTAAACCATTGTTACCTCTTAGAAGACCAGTGAACCAACAACCCAGACCATACCCAAACGACAAGGAACGATTCGAACCTGAACCAATGGATACCTCTAGTACCACAATAACCAAATATCAGAACCTCCCTCACAATATTCAACATTATTGTCATGAATATGAACTACAAGCCGAAAGTTACGATTTCGGAGAATATCAATCTCCAAACTATCCAAAAGACCCTGACTACCTAGAGCAACCCGAGGAGTACCTCCAGCAAACTATCCCAGATACTGCACCCGAAAATTTTCGGAAAAGTGCCTCGAATTTAAACCTAGAAAAATGATCTTTGAAAATAATTCTATTTTAGCTTCACCACTTTCTTATATTAAAATCCAAAACCCGCCTCTAAAATTGCTTATTGACTCCGGCTCCTCTAAAACCATGATTCGCCCAGATATTGTTGAAAAATATTATCCTCAATGTATATTTCAATCATCAAATGTTATAAAAACTTGCATGGGCCAAAAGAAAACAAAATTCTGTGCAACTATCCCTGCCTTTGACGAATTTCAAAGTAACGAGAATATTGACATTCTACTATACGACTTTCACGACTTTTATGACGGACTAATAGGCTTAGATGTAATAACTCAATTTGTGTTACTTTTTGATTATAAAAACTCAATAGTTGTAAATGAATATATTTCAATTCCTCTATACGTCCGAAATCCTTTAGAAACTTCTAAAAAAATTACCGTCAACGCCTCTGAAATTCTTAGAACGCAAATTCCAGTTTCGATAGAGAATGGTGAAATTTTAGTCCCTAGAATCGAAGGCGATCGTACGATTATACCCGAAACAATATCATACGCGGAAAACGGATTGGCTTATGTAGAAATTCATAATTATACAGACGAACCATCTACTGAATATTTCGATTATCCTATCCGAGTGAGATCCCTAGACGAGTACTATCCTGTCAAACCCGTCATTCACCCTTCTGAAAATAAAATCCTTAAAACAGATGAAATAAATGCTAACGAACTTGACGACCTAGACTCTATCCTTAACAACCCTCCTAACGACAATATTGACCAGCTTATCGACTCCCTTAATGAAGACATAAGTAGNTGAAGATATTAAAAGCCGAATAATCTCCAATTTTGGGATATCCTAGGCAAATTCTGGAGTGATCCCATCCTGGGATGGTTCTTGGCTTTGCACTAGGGATGCGCGATGTATCTAAAACATCGATGTTGACATCATTTGATACATCGAAATCCAAATATCGATGTGTTAAAAATATCGGATCAAAAACATCGATTTTCTTAAATATCGATATTTTCTATGAAAGTGTAATATTAAATATAGAGAACTTATAATAATAAAAATATATTTTACAAATAAATATAAAATGTAGGTACTCCAGGTATAAAAAATTAAATTAAATTAAAATAATGATTTAAAACAAAGAAATAATATGTTAAATAATACAAAAATAAAAGAATCTTGAAATAAAACTAACTCATTCATTAAAAAAATATATTTTGGGGACAATTTTGAAGAAATAATAATTTTGATAAGCGTTTTCCTTTAAGTCTATTTCTTTGCTGGGTTAACACTTGCCCTGCCTTTGAGAAAAGTCTTTCGGAGGGAACTGATGTCGCTACCATGCTAAGATATTTTGGTGCAATCTTGGATAAAGTAGGAAATATACATTTCATCTCCTTCCAGAGCTCCAACGGATTTTCTGTAAAATTTCTAATAGGACATTGAAGATACTGAGTAATTTCGGCAGAAACTTTAGCTTTTTGTTCTTCACGATGAGAGGCATAAGAGGAAGCACCACTAACATTTTCTACTATCTTATGATGTTCGCTCCAAAGGTTGAATTTTTCATCTTCTAAAAACGAAGTATTGGCATATTAATGAATATTACTCTATATTAATATTATAAACTTACCTTGAACTTCGAGAATATTCATATCCTCCGAATCTGCTTCAGTAACTTCTAGAGCCGACATCATTAAATTTTGTAATCGGGTAATACTTTTAGAGCAAGCTAAAGCGTTTTGAAAATGAAGTTTTTTAAATCGTGGATCCTGAATCGTAGGTAGAGCCAGTAAATGCACGTCCTCGATGTGATTAAATCGACGCTTCAGTTCTGAATTTAATTCATCTTTCAATTTTGATCCTATTTCCGACTGACATTTACTTGACGATATTTTTTTGTCAAGACAATGCATCATAGGTATAATTTTACTAGAAGTCACATAACTTTCCCCACATAACTCCTTGGTGGCGGCTTCCAAGAGCAGTAGCAATCCGATAACTTCTTCTATTTGTTGAATTTCCAAAGCTGTAACCATTGGTGGAGCAGTAACATGTCTATTAACTATTTCATTGATGGACGCTCTTAGCTTCAGGAATCTTTCCAACATATAGTACATAGAGTTCCAGCGTGTTGGAACTGCCTGTATTAACTTATACGGTGTTAGTTTTCTAAGTTCATCACTTGCCAAAACACTTTGTTTGAACCATGTTACAATTCGTTTCACTTTATTTACTAGGTTAGTTAAATTTGGAACGTTCTCCACAGATCTTTCAACCACTAAATTTAAAGTATGTGCACAGCAGGGTATATGCACATTTTTGCCGAAAGCAATGTCGACTGCCTTCACAATATTTGCTCCGCTGTCTGTTACAACTGCAGTTATATTCTCCTTTTGTATATTCCATAAATTACAAGTTTCGGTTAACTTTTCCGCTACATAATCTGCCATATGTCGTTCTTCAAGATCATATACACCCAAGGTAACTGAACAAATTTTTGCCCCATCTGCAAAGTGCGTGGTGACGCCTAAAAAACTACGAGTTTGCATCGTATCACTCCAAACATCGGTGGTTATTGTTATATCTTTTAATGCTAATTTTGCTTTTATTTTAATGGATGCTAATTCATATTTAACGTCTAATTTACGAGTAAATGTATCTCTGTTTGGCAGCTTATACTGTGGACTTAATGTTTTTATTAAGTGACGAAACCCTTCATTTTCAACTATTTTAAATGGCTGCATATCTTTGCATATCATGAATAAAATAGCATCAGTAATCGCATCAAATTTTTTGCCTCCTTCCGCATAAGATAAAATGTTCAAAAAACTTTGTTTGATGCGTGGTTAATATGATGAACTCTTACTACTTCTACTTGACACAGATTGGTTTTCGTCGTCATCATCATGTTTTTGTGTTGATGTTGATGGACCGGCAGTGGTTTGTTGTGATGGGCCTACACTGCCTGCAGAAGATGAAATTTCTGATACATGCATGTCCTCCTCTTCGTTTTCGGTGTGTTCGGTGAGATGGACCTGATCTGGTTTGGGTTCTTTACTTTTGTCCTGTCCTGTTGTTAATTTATAGGCTTTATCTGGTTTTCGAAGTAACATTTTATGTTGTCGAACAATATGACCCATTAAATTAGTCGTATTTCCCGAAGTTTTAAGTTTTTTCGCACAGTAACTGCAAGTTGCAGTACCATCATTATTTTTGGAAAAATGTTTCCATACATCACTCTTTATAGGTCCCATCATTACATAACAATTTTATTCACACTATTATTGTACGCTTAGGCACTAATTATTACTGCACAGCAGTGCACAGTCACATCAATAAAGATGCTGACGAGACGTGCACGTTTCAAACAAACAAATATGATGACAACATACTAGGGCAGGCAGGCAGTCTACATTTTTTACTTTTTACTTCTTAAGTAACCTCGTAAGTAACTATTAAACGATAGACATCAATAGAATATAGTAATTTCCACGTAATTTCATCACAAAACAATAATTTCCTGGGAATCACTAAAATATGACGTACGATTAGTAGGCACCTAGCCTATAGATTTTCATTTTCAATCAAATTCCAATATTCACGAAACAGTTACCTATTTATATTTTAAATAAAAAAGTAATTCTACCTAAATTACATGCATACGTTGACTGAAGTATTAGTTACAGTTTACGTTCATTAGAGACTTTCTAGTTCTGCTAATGCTCGCTAGATGGTGCCACGAAACAATGGACAACGATAATAACGAATTAGTATAAATAAGCCACAAACATCGAATGAAACATCGTAAAAAATTATCGATGCTGTCTTATAATATCGAAACAAATAAAATCGATGTAAATATCGAAAGCGTAAGCAAAATATCGATGTTTAAGATACATCGGTGAACATCGCGCATCCCTACTTTGCACAGTGCATGGTGCATGCGTAGTATGACATATTGACGACATGACCAGTATCTCGCCATTTTCTGTGTTTCTTTGTTTATTATGTTTTATAAGTGCGTGACTCAATGACGTTTTTATTAATTTGAAAAGTGGAAAATGAAATTTAAAGCTTGTTAAAATAGTTAAGTGACGTGCATCAACCACCTGCTGGCAGAAGTAAGTATTTAAATTACCTTTGGTATTAAGGTATTAATATCATAGAATAAACATATAGGTTATAGGTTAGAATCGTATATAGTATTAACTAATTTTGTTCCTACTGTTTGTATCATGCAATAATTATATAATGCCTAAAGAACGCATTAAAAAAACATGTTTTCAAATATTTTTTATATAGAGCCTAATACCATTCAAAAATTAGAATAGTTTTTATCACTATTTGTAATAGATGTGTATAAGTGGTATCACCAAATCTACATAATATGTTCAAATCTATAATTTTTAGTTTTGAATGTGTTGTATATAGGTGTTCTGACAAAGGATTGTATCCCATAAATTTAATTAATTTATTATAGTTCTCTGTCTGTAATATTTGTACCAACATTGTGAGTTATAAGGATTACATTATAAATCGTAGGCAGAATTACGTATTATCTATTAGAATATTAGAATTAAATTTAATATCAACAGATTATAATCCATAGTTCATGAAATTAGAATAGTCTCGTTAAATGTATTTAATGAAAATTTTTGTTTTGTCACTCGTCTACAATGTAAATGTATTATTAACATACTTTTTCTACAAATTTACAGCTGGAATTTCACAAGCACATTGCACAAAAAATTGCCCAGAAAAAGATAATGGGGAGGGCATTAAAACATGTCGCAGCATGCAAATGAGAGACTATAAAAAGAGACCAGATCAACAGCACATAAGGAATAGTTATACATATAATACAAATAATAACTTAGTTGTGTATATAACTTTGTTTATATTCTGTAATAAAAAAGTTGGTTATATGTATCATAGAAAGAGTTGATTATATATGTATATATAAGTACATGTGAAATTTGCTTTTTAAGTTTATATTTATAATGTGCAATGAATAAAAAAATTCAGTTCAATTTTNGAAAATACAATTATTATATACTAATCCGCAAGAAAGAGCATCCCTTCAACTAGTTTATACTTCCTTGCTTTTGAATAAATTAAAGAGTAACCTTCCACAAAATTTTGAAACAATTATACTGTCCAGACCTGATTTAAATGATATAGAATCGGTAGTCCAGGCCATACTTGAACTTGAAATATATTTCGAATACAAAAACATGAACCGTCGTCCACCCCAAACTTCACAACAAAGATTTCCTATACCTCCTGTTAGACAAAACTTACCCCCTAAACCAAGTTATAATTATAAACCCCAATATTATTCGAATCAACAACCTGACTTTTCATCAAGACATTTTCCATTATCTCAACCTTCTTCACGACAAATCCAGCCACCTATAAGACCTCCCTATGACCAACCTAAACCATTGTTACCTACTAGAAGACCAGTGAACCAACAACCCAGACCATACCCAAACGACAAGGAACGATTTGAACCTGAACCAATGGATACCTCTAGTACCACAATAACCAAATATCAGAACCTCCCTCACAATATTCAACATTATTGCCATGAATATGAACCACAAGCCGAAAGTTACAATTTCGGAGAATATCAATATCCAAATTATCCAACAGATCCTGACTACCTAGAACAACCCGAGGAGTACCTTCAGCAAACTACTCCAGATACCGCACTCGAAAATTTTCGGATAAGAGCCTCGAATTTAAACCCGGAAAAATAATCTTTCAAAATAATTCTATTTTAGCTTCACCAAAATCCAAAACCCGCCTTTAAAATTGCTTATCGACTCCGGCTCCTCTAAAACCATGATTCGCCCAGATATTGTTGAAAAATATTACCCTCAGTGTATATATCAATCATCAAATATTATAAAAACTTGCATGGGCCAAAAGAAAACAAAATTCTGTGCTACTATCCCTGCCTTTGACGAATTACAAAGTAACGAGAATATTGACATTTTACTATACGACTTTCATGATTTTTATGACGGACTAATAGACTTAGATGTAATAACCCAATTTAGATTACTTTTCGATTATAAAAATTCAATGGTCGTAAATGAATATATTTCAATTCCTCTATACGTTCGAAACCCTTTAGAAACTTCTAAAAGAATTACCGTCAACGACTCTGAAATTTTTAGAACGCAAATTCCAGTTTCGATAGAGAATTGGTGAAAATTTAGTCCCCAGAATCGAAAGCGATCATACGATCATACCCGAAACAATATCATACGCAAAAAACGGATTGGTTTATGTAGAAATTCATAATTATACAGACGAACCATTTACCGAATATTTCGACTATCCTGTCCGAGTGAGATACCTAGACGAGTACTATCTAAAAAATAGATGAAATAAACACTAACGAACTTGACGACCTAGACTCTATCCTTAACAACCCTCATAACGAAAATATTAACCAGCTTATCGATTCCCTTAATGAAGACCTAAGTAGTACTTTACATATACCTGAAGACACTGAAATCCCCGAAGAACAGAGAGAACTCCTAGACTGTTTAGACGACTTATCTGACGCCTATACACAACATACCGCCCGAGAAAACCCTGTCTGTTCCCCACAAATTACCGAAAAGAGTATCAACGGGTACAAAAGACAACTATTTATACATGAAACCCAAAAAATGCCTAGCCGTTTTGGAAACCATTTCCTGATAAAATAAGGACTGCCCTAGTTTGTCACACCTCCATATCTGACGACGAACTCACTGATATACTAAAAAGATATCTAAACGTACACGAAACAACCTGCCTCTATTTTCACTCGGATAAAATTAAAGAAAAGGTTCTCAGAGTATTGGCTAAGAGCTTTGCTCCAGAAACTAAGATAGTTATCTCTAACACGGTGTTAGAAGACTTAATTTCAAAAGATGAACAAATGGATCAAATTAAATTCTTTCATGAAACAAAAACCACCCATAGGGGAATTAATGAAACTACTAAACTACTTACAAAAAAATTTTATTGGCCAAATTTGTCGGCCCACGTGCATAACTACATAAACACGTGCGAAACATGCAACTTAGCCAAACACGAAAGAAGCCCACAAAAGGTTGAAATCCAAAGTACGCCAACCCCATCCAAGCCTCTCGAAACCCTTCATATAGATCTCCTCTTTATTAATAAAGAAATTTTTCTAACCTTATTTGACCCCTTCTCGAAGTTCGGACAAGCAATAAGAATCGAATCAAAAAATGCTCTTGATACTATCCAAGGACTAACTACTTTCACATCCTTCTTTGGTACCCCTAAACACATAATTTATGATCGTGGTAAGGAATTCGTCAATACTCTTTTTAAACAATTCTGTCAGTTGTATAATATTAAAATTTATGCTACCTCGACACAAAGTTCTCAAAGTAATAGTCCTGTAGAGAGATTCCACTCTACACTGTCAGAATCTATACGTATACTAAAATTGGAAGACCCACATAAACCCCTAGAATACTTAATGAAGATAGCAATAACCTCTTACAATAACTCTATCCACTTTTTCAATACTGTTCCCCTCTATCTACAACGATACTTCACCTATCCTTAACGAAGTTGAAACTACCCAAGACTACATAGAGAACTCCCGTAAATTATCTGAAAAACTTAATGAGCAAATAAAAAACTGACTGAACCAAGGTAAACAGACGCGTAACGAAAAGATAAATCAAGACCGTCACGAACCTGAACTCCTATATCCCAATGACGAAATTTATTTAAAAACAAAAACCCCCTGGTCTCGTAAAGTCCAGAATCCCTTTGAAAAGGTCAAAGTTCTGCAGGACACAAATATAACTGTAAAGACAAAAAAAAAGAAATACCATAAAAGTAAGGTTCAAATGAGACGACAAACTAAGGGTTCTTCTTTGTTACAGAACAATGAAGCCTCTTCCTCTGCTTTTGGCCATAATAACGATGATGACAATACTGACGAAGAATACGACCACGACAGTAGAAATAGAAATATTGAAGAACCCAATCCTCCCTATAAACCTAGGTCCCCTTAAAACTATATCCTTTTACCATTCCTTTGTTCACGTCCTTAACTTGACGGAAATAGGAGAACATATAAACAGACTGCTTGTATCTTCAGAAAGTATACCCAAAGAAAAACAATTCTGGCATATCCAATTACATTATCTTGCGGAACGTATTAGACAAAAATTTGAAATTATTTCCCCTACCGCTACAAGACGCGAAAAACGTGGTATTTTTAATTTCGTAGGGAATATTTATTCGGAGTTATTCGGTCTAATGAGCGCGGATGACAAAGACCTTTTGGAACAAAAATTAGAAATTATGTTTCACAATCAACAAAATACAAATGATCAGCTGAATACGAAACTTTCCGTTCTGGAATCATTTACCAGTGAAATACAAAATGCAATGAAAGAGATTAACAACTTTTGGAAAACCTCAAATGACTTCTTTGAAACTCAAATTCTAATTAACGATTGCTTGGTTACATTGGAAATCTTAGATCAAATTGAGAATGGCCTATTATTTACTCAGATGAACATCGTGCATTCCGATATAATTTCACCAACAAACATCGCCGAGATTTTCAAAATACTGCATACTTTATATAACCCCGAGGAATTACCCTCTTTGGATCAAAATTCAGTTTTTACTCTATTCCACATGAAAAATTACGTATCAAATTCGGTAATATATATGGAAATTCTGGTTCCGATCTACCATGTCAATGAATATAGCCTACTCCAAATATTCCTCCTCAAACCTGTCCATTATTCCCCCCGAACGTTACCTAGCACTTGGTACCTCTGCTAGTGTTTACTCATGGTCAACATGGTCAAAAGAAAAACCCCAAAAAGTTGGCAGATACTACCAACTCCAGGAAATGATATATGAAAAACCACCATCATGTATCCCAAAAATGATTTTTGACCATGACACATCAAATTGTACCTTTTACTATCTAAAGCACCCTAAAGACGTCATCACTATGTTACCCTCCGGGCAACTGCTTATCTTACCAAGCAAAACGGTGCATATAGAGGAGAAATGTTCTAATGTCATCCATCATTTTCTCTCAGAAGACTCTTTACTATCTAATCAAGAAGGGTGCATCCTGCGTATTGATGAAGAAGAATATTTCTTACCCACTACAGATTTACAAGCCTCTACAATCATTTTACCAGAAACGAAAGAATTCAAGCTATCGAATCTTACGCTAGACAACACTATAAATAAACTAAAATTCTTAAAGTCCGAGGTAAAAAGAATAAAAGATGTCCAGCTGACCGACCCTGCATCAGTTGAACCGACATTAATCTCGTGGACAACCTGGCTCACCTGGTCCCTTATTGGAATTGTAATTTTGTTCCTCCTCTTCATCTTTCGGAAGAGTATAAACTTCTGGACAATCTTCATCCCAGAGTTCTACAATCTTCATATATTCAGCATCACTTAAGGCCAAGGCACTAAGCTTTCGTTTTGTTGGATCTTTTTGTAGTTTTCTACGTTTAGCATCACGTGCTGCTCTTGCATTTTTAAAGGNATCAAAAGAAAATGCAACGGAAGCACACCGCAGGTATAAAACCAACTGTGTGCTTCACGTGCGCCAGTCTGTATCAAGCACGCAATAAACTTGTTCTCGAAAAGCTCTGCTCATTATTCCAAGGGCCCAAATCCCAAGTACGAAATTTTAAGTATATAGTGCTGTACTCAACATAAGAGGTAAAAATAAGCATTTCTTCTTTTTCGAATGTCTTGTAAAGTTGTAAACTGTCTTAACTGTCTTATACCCCGGAGAAAAATTGTGTAACTTGTACAATGAAGAGATATTGTTTCTAACTTGTTCAAATTTTCTAAAACTGTCGACAAAAAACTACCTAATTGAAAATTACGCAATAAAACGTACCCATTAAGAATTACTATCAGCTATCAACCATATGACAACTATAAAATTTCCATTTTCATATCCACGTATGGACAAGGATGTGTATCGAACATTTAGTTTCTTGTTAAAATACTATTAAGTACATTTCCGATAAAAATTTACATTTAAGTTTCTAGCAGACAGTCTGGTACTTGTTGGAGTGTCCTCAATTTCATGAAGTACATCTTCCTTCAATTGTAGGGTTATTGCTGTACGGGGTCGCCCGTTTCCTGCGGTAAGTAACTTCCAGTTTCACTAAGACGTTGATGAAGACGGGTGAAGATAGTATGATGAGGAATTATACGATTAGGGTATATCTGCTCATAGAGGCGCCTGGCGACTAATGCGTTACCATTGGCAAGGCCGTAAAGAAAATGCATATCGCACATTTCACTATTTGTGTAATTTATTTTGACAAGCAGAAATTGACAACTACACAGTTCAAGTACTTATTAAAATCACACACTTAAGCTATTAATTTTTTGTTCGAAAACGAAGCAAGATATCAAAAAAAAGTAAAGAGGCAAAAAAGTTGTATTTTTTATCGGATAATTAGAAAAACATATGACATCTAAGAAAAAGCAGTGACGTCTCATATGTTTACTTATTGAGTGAGTCCCCGGACGCCGCTGGAATAGATAAAATAAATCAAATTACGTCAGAAGACGTCTATCGTTTTTATAAACAAACATACCAAATTTCAAAAAAATCGGAATTAGGGTTCTCCAGATATTAGTAAAAACCTTGTATTTTCTCTAAATTTCAACACCATGTAGGAACTTTCTTTCTTATTTTTGACCAAGGAAA